AAATTTTAAAAATATTCACTAAAAACTTAAAAAAAGAAACGATAAATAAAAAACTCAATTTATAAAAAACTGAATTTGGAAAACTGAAACTAAACACACTAATTAATTTTATAATTTAATTAGTTACTCCAAACATCTTCTTATTCTTATTTTATATCCCACCTTCCCTCTTGATATTCAATAATAGTTTCAAAAAATATCCTTCCTCCTGTTATTAATTATAAATGGCATTCACTTCATAAATTAAAGCGTAACAAATCGCAAATTTTAAAAACCAAATCAGAACATATACAAAGGTTGAGGGTTACAGTAAAACACAATGTATATTTTGACAATCATTAGTGTAATTAACTCAAAAGTCAAAATTTAAGAAGTTAAAAAGACATTCGAAATAACTTGAGAATGAGAATAGCCATGGAGTTGTCAATAAATATAGATAAAATTCGAAACTCGTATTTCATTTCATCATGGTAAATAGAGACAAAAACTTGTTTGCAGCTATAAGTTAGCTAAAAAATCCAACTAACAATACAATCATCGCGCGCAAGACACACATTACAAAAGACATGAATATCCCAGAAACAGGGGATGATATTGTAACCGATGATGAATTGATTTGTATCTCACAAACAATCACATCACAAGATGGAACAACCTCGTGGGTCTGAATCATATACCGGTTACAGTAATAAGGGGTTGGAATAACTGGTGGAGCCATAGCCCACTGGAGTGGTTTCTCTTCTTTCTTTTCCTCCTCTTTGGGCTTCACTTCTTCCACACTTTGTACGCTGGCATATTTGCTCACCTTCCTCCTTATTGACTTGGTTAACTCAACTGAATCAATCTGTTCTCCTATTACCTCTACTTGATCTTTTCCATCTCCTTTTATTGCCACTGAGCTCACACCTATGTAAAACAATTAATCAGTACCAACATTCATGAATTGAGAAAGCTATAAAATGTCACAATGCACTTGTCTTGATCATTGAATTATATCTCGAGATTTTTATTTCTTGAGCCTTTCACACTATCCTATAACTGTAAAGTGATTTTTATTTCTTGATCGTCGGAGTGCCCCCGGGTGGACGAACCACCGCCGGAATCTTCTCTTTCTGTTGCAAGTCAGATAGGTGCCATCTATTCTGCCAGTGCTTTCCAGCTGAATACTGAGTTGACAGTGTGATCGGAAATTCACTCACACAATTTGGCGCCGTCTGTGGGAAAGAAAGGAGAATAGATGGCCAGCGATAGGCAGAAGGACAAGGTTGGGGACGAAATCCCAGCTGGGAGTGGAAAACACGTTGACCCAAACGTAGAGGAAGATGGTCGTAATGAGGAGACTCAGAACCAGTATCACGGCAAGAAAGACGTCGGCCAGGATGGTGACGTACCGAAGAAACCAGATCAAAGTGGGTACTACAACGAGGACGACCTCCAGGTATGGAAGGATAGATGCCTGCGGAGGGACGAAGAAGTAAAAGAGATGGCGAACAAATTGGCGGACCTGCAATCGGTCGTCAATTTCATGATGCAAAATAATGTCATGCAGCCACCATTCCCGCTGCAGGACACGCAGCTCCCGGCGGCCAATGCCTAGAAGGGGGGACAGAAGCCAATCCTAATAGCCCCCCAGCATACCAGGAGTGAAAGACACTCTCACCGGCCTTCAAGGGAGGTCGAGCGAGGAGAGTTGAGAAGGGAAGAATCGCGAAGGGCGCATCGCACCAAGGAAGCAGACCCCAGAGAACATCGACATGTTCAAAGGCATGAGCTGTGTTTCGACACAACTCATGGAGAAAGGTCGAAGAGGCTCACAACGAAGTTGAGAGCAGTGCACCTAAAAGACTGAAATCAGGAGATAGCCGAGCTCCTGGGTGGACAAATAAGGACTTGAGAGATTACCTCAAGAGGAAGCAACAGAATGCCGATGCCGAGGTAAACTCCCCTGATAAGTCGAGAACACCATTCTCAGTGGAATTGGACAAATTTAAGGCACCGAAGAGATTCAGTATGTCGAGGTTCCAAATATACGATGGTAAGTCAGACCCCAACTTCCACGTTGGATTATACTTGAATTCAATGGCATTGTATAGTAGGAACGAGCCGTTGCTCTGCAAAGTGTTCTCCTCATCCTTCGGAGAGATTGCATCAGATTGGTTTCATAAACTACCAAAGGGAAGTGTGAAGACCTGGGAAGGCCTGGCCGAGATGTTTGTGGCCAGGTTCGTGAGAAACAAGTTGCAGCCATTAAGGGTGGACGCATTGATGGCTTTGAAGATTAGTAAGGATGAAGGCCTTAGGGCCTACGCAAAAAGATACTATGAGGTGTTCAACCGACTACCCGAATGCAATCAAGAGGTGGTAGTCGTATCTTTCAAGAACGGTCTAAAAGACGACTGTCCATTACGAAAATCTTTGGCAAAGACATTACCAAAAAGCATGGAAGAGCTCATGGCTAGAATTGAGAAGTATGCTAGAGCTGAGGAAGATACGTCGGGGATAAAGGAGACAAAGCAAGAAAAAGGAAACAGCTCGCCGAAGCGAGGCTGAGGTAACAATAGATCCAGCAAGTAAGAGGTAGGTCTGGGGGCTACACAGGTAGTTACAACTGTGTTCCGAATCCCGATTCACAAAGTCCTGGACAAAATTCGGAATCAACCCTATTTCAGAGCACCAGCAAGGACACCAGGAGAGTTTATGGAAAGAAACCTTGACAGACATTGTGTTTACCACAATGAAAATGGGTACATGACTCAGGGTTGTAGAGCCCTGAAAACACACTTAGAAGACCTGGTGAGGCAAGGCCATCTGAGAGACCTTATCGATGAGGCCAGGATAAGGGAAGAACAGGCAAGACTGCCTCAGGCGCCAGCAGCTCCACCTCCTCCAGCACAGCAACCTCAGGCAGGAGGACCTCGGGTAATTAATGTAATTCACTCGAAGGTCAACGAAAACGAGATTCGGGGGGAGACCCAGAAGGTAAAGCACCTACAGCATGTCTACCAAGTCGGGAAGAAGAGACATCGGGTAGAGGAGTACCAAGGACCAGTAGTGTCCTTTACTGAAGCCGACCTTGAGATGGTGCAACATCCACATAACGATGCCTTGATAGTATCTCTCCAGGTTGGGGAATGCCAAGTGAAGCCCATCTTAATCGATCAAGGCAGCTCTTGTGACATCATGTACGTCAGATGTTACAAGGAGCTTGGCCTTCACCCAGACGATATGGAGCAATCCAATAGCCCAATGGTTGGGTTCAATGGAACGCCGACATGGCCATTGGGAACGACGAGCTTGGAGGTGCAGGCTGGCACCAAGAAGATAAAGACAGAGTTTACCGTAATCGACACACCCTCCCCTTACAATATCATCTTGGGAAGGTCGTGGTTGCATGCGATGGGGGCTGTTCCCTCAACATTGCATCAACTATTGCGGTCCCCAACAGAACATGGGATAGAGGAGATCAAAGGAGATTAGCTGCAGGCAAAGAATTGCTCCATGGCAGCAATGAAATCCACCTGCAGCATACGAGAACCAGAGAAGGAAGAGATCAAAGACGAGGACGTGGAAGTCCTAGAGGATATCGGCAAAGAGCCAGCCGAGAAGAGTGAAGAAACACTAAAGAAAATCCTCGTCCAAGAGGGGAATGAAGAACGCCTCTTTCTTCTCAGCTCGGGCTTAGCCGAAGAAGAGGAAAAAAAGTTGGAGGCGTTCCTGAGAGCAAATATTGAGGTGTTTGCCGAAGTAAATAAATAAAGTTTTGCTCTTTTGCCGAAGTAAATAAATAAAGTTTTAGCTTGATTTATTCGTTTATACACTTGTGACTGATAAAGATACATAACATTGTTTCTGGAATACATGTATAATGAGAACCCAAGTGGAACTTAGGTTCACATTAAGGGGCAGAGAGAAGAAAAATGGTTTTAACACTTGTTGAAACTTGAGAAAAGTTTAGAAGTTGAAGTTAAACCGAGATCATGTTTAACACTTGTTGAAACTTAAGAAAAGTTTACAAGTTTAAGTTAAACCGAGATTATGTTTAACACTTGTTGAAACTTGAGAAAAGTTTACAAGTTGAAGTTAAACCGAGATTATGTTTAACACTTGTTGAAACTTGAAAAAGGTTTTAACACTTGTTGAAACTTGAGAAAAGTTTACAAGTTGAAGTTAAACCGAGATCATGTTTAACACTTGTTGAAACTTGAGAAAAGTTTACAAGTTGAAATCGGGATCATGTTTAACACTTGTTGAAACTTAAGAAAAGTTTACAAGCTGTAGTTAAACCGAGATCATGTTTAGCACTTGTTGAAACTTGAGAAAGGTTTACAAGTTGAAGTTAGACTAAGGCAAAACACTTGTTGAAATTTTATGAAAAAATTTTACAAGCTGAAACCATGGTTATGCTAAGAAAGGTACTTGGGTACTTGCCGAGGAAAATTATCAGTTTGTATAACCAGGGTGTGTCACCCCGAGAAGGTTGCACAAAGATTGAAGTGTATATTAAAGATATGCAAAATATTCTAAGTATGGAATCATACAAGAGTAGTAAAAAGAAGGCAAACATACAAACGTTCAAAACAAAGAAGTTGTATTTATAAGAAGACACTTCGACCATATGAAGAGCTTACACTGTTTCAAAAGAAAAAACAAAAGTACAGAACATAGAAGAAAGAAAAAAGACATCAAAATTAAGACTCCTCAGCAACAGCAGATGGTTGGGTTTGAACTTCAGAAGATTGCTGGGAAGACATCTCGGCAGCCTTTTCAGCCGCAAGCTCGGCATCTATTTCTTGAAGGGATTGATCGAGGCTCTTGTCGGCGAAAGGAATATCCGATGATGCCTTCTCAAGAGTGGCATCCTTGGGAACCTCCTCACCCTTCTCATCTTGAGTCAAGTCTAGGACTTGTTCATTCTGGGTAGGGGACTTGGCCCCAGCAGTTTCTTTTGATTTCCTAACCAAAACCTCCTCCTCAGACTCAGATTTGTTGTCGGATTGGCTTGGAGTTAGGGGGAATGGCAGAGGAAGGACGTTGGTGTTCCTGAGGGGGGAGTCATCGGGGATTTCAAGCTTTTTTAGAAGAGACATCCAACCAAGGGTGAAACCCTTGTTGCATGCCTGCTTCGCTTGCTTTTCATAGTCCGCTGTGATATCGGCCATCCCCTCGTTATAGCCCTTCTCATCAGCTGCCTTTATCTCGGCATCTTTGGTGGTCAGGGCATCTTGAAGTTCTTTCTGGGCCTGGGACATCTTTTCCTCGGTCTCTCTTTTTTGGGCCTCAAGAACCTTCCTAATGGCCTCAGCGGATTCCGCCTTTCTTCGGCGTCATTTTGAGCTTTAATAGCAGCCTTGGCTTGATCCTCCAGGGTCTTCATTTTTGATTGCAAGTTTTTATTAGTCTTTTGCAGACTAGCAGCCTTCCTCTTCTTGTCGGCAAGCTTCTTCCGATTCTCAAAGACTTGCACTGAGAAAGAATGAGCATTCTGGATGGCCTGAAAGTAAACAAAAGTTATTAGAAAATATTATAAGTATGAAATGAAGAAAAAGAAAGAAAAATTACTGAATAAAGAGACTTACTTGAACAGAGCACTGAAGCATCAGAGCATAGTTTTCATATTCGCTCAGCTCGGCGTTCCGGTCGAAATCGCCGGGAAGAAGCATAGCGGTACTAAGGGCAACGCCGACGTTGATGTCGTCGGCACTATCGCTAGCCCTAACTGGCTTATCCTCCAGTGTCATTTGGGGGGCCCAAGGGGCATCGTGGTTTAAAGACCCCGAGGTGGTTGTAGCGGATGACCTCGGCCTCTTTGATCAGGTAGATTCGGATGGTTGGCCCTCTGCAGGCCTCTTCTCAGCGACAGAATGGGACTTATCGCTCTCAGCCAATATGGAGATTGGCAAGGTGTCCTCAGTGTCAACCTGAGTCACCTTGGACTTTGGCTGGTCTTTCTTAATTCTTTTTTGCTTTTGCCTTGGCTGAGGCTGGGTTTGTGCTGGCTGAGCGTCAACGTCGATAGGGATGCTGGCTAAGAGGTCTTTGGTAACTGCTTTTCGGTGGCCCATCTCAGCAGCAAAAATTGTTCGGCGTTGTCGACGACGCTGGGATATTAGGATCAGATATGGAGCTGAGGTAGACGGCTGCTCAGCTGGATCAGAGGTCGATCCTTGATCTGGCTGAGATAAGGAGGTTGTTTGAGGAGTTGTAGCAGAAGGAGGTGACTGGCTTTTCTTCTTCTTCCTTGGGACGTCGGGCAACGCCGATTTGTAGGTTGGGATGAAATTGAGTACCAGAGGGGCTCTCCGTTTATGGACTGGCATATCCAAAAGTTTCCTCAAGTCTTTGCTGGGAAATATAGACTGACGGAAGCCCTTTGGTGGCTGAGGAAGAGCTGCAAGAAAAATAGACATTAGAAACAAACAAAGTATTGAAGACTTTAAAAACAAGTTAGTATGAACACAGGGCTCTTACCATTGACCTCTACAAAAACTGATCGAGGAAGAGGGTAGAGATGGAGGTCCTCGTCTGGAGCGAACTCCCAGTTCGCCGAGGTAATGAAATAGTCATCCCCAGCTCCCTTGTTGGAGTCAGGGAGGCCGACAACAATTTTGTACTCTGTGGACCTCGGCTTAAGGTAGTAAACGTAGCCCGTATCTTTTTTGAGGCCACACATGGTGTAGCAGTATTGGATATCGGCTAAGGTAATCCTAGTGTTTTCTTGTCTAGCTAAGGCTATGATACCATTGATGACTTGATAGGAATTGATGGCGAGTTGCATCGGGTTCAACTTATAATAGTGAAGTATCTCACGCAAAAAGGGTGTTGAGTGGGAGCTGAAGTTCGCACTCAATGAAGGCTACCACAGGGAAGGGCATAGAATCAATTGTAGGCATAATAGAGTTATCTTCCCCAGCTAACCTCAGATAGACGTCGTATCCTATGTTTCCACATACCCATGATATCGTCCTAACTAGGAGAAACTGGGTTTCAGAAAGAAGGTGTTTTAAAAGGGTTATTAGGACCTCAGCAAAAACCTAAAAATTTGTGGGGTAAGAAATTGTGGGGATCGTTTCGGTTTTTCCTAAGAATTTGTGAGTTCTACAAACAAATCCCAAACCTAGATCTATGGAAACGAAGATTGAAGGCACGAATCTGGAAAACAGAAAAGTAAGAATGCGCTTCAGAATCAAAAACAAAGATGGACTATCAAGAACATTGTAAGGACAAAGGGTATAAGGTCAAGAACAGTGGCAAAAGTGCAGAAAAGTTGTGAGCAGTGCGTGCATTCAAGACATGGGCAAAGAGCAAAGTCGTGAAATAAACACACTCAGATACATGACTCATAAATCAAATACTTGAGTAAAATAGCAATGGCGATTAATAATGAAGCAAAACTTCTTGGAGAGTAACAAGAAATAAAACTAGGAGGAACGGTGGCTTACCAGAAAGAGGGAAGCCGGAATGGGGATTGCCGAAGTCTGACGACGGTTGCAAAGGCGGAAGATCGGTGAAAATTATGCCGGAAGAGGTAAACGGAGCAAGTGGTAGAGCTATAGAAGTTTGAACAATGGAGGATTTGAGAAAGCTAGAGAGAGAGAGCTTCAGAAACGATGTAAAGTGAAGAGACGGAAGGAGAAAGAGGTTTTGTTAAAACTTGAAACGGCGGCAAAAAGAAAGCAATTAATGTGCCTAAAAATGACGTATGTGTCAGACGGCGCACGCAGGCGCGAGATGACTTACAAGCGTGTACGGAGTACGATCCAATAAGGGGAAAAACGCGTGGTTAAGACGGTTGATGTATTATGCTTGACAACTCATACGCATGAGTGAGCTCTTGAAATTTTTGATCTTTAAAGAGACATATCGGCTGGGAATCTCTAAGCCGATGTATTGGCAGGAAGGAATGATATAGGTCACATCACCTCAGAATGTCGAGGTAATAGAACCTAGGGGGCAGTTGTGGGGATATATTTTTCAAGTACCAACATGTGGCCAAGGTGATGCCGACATATCAGCCGAGGTACCATGTGTCTTGGTCATGACGCTAAGGTTATCGCGGCAAGGCCAAGGTTATCTCCGAAGATATCGGAATCCGAGATAAGCGGATAAGGCACAAGAGTCCTAGAATGATGAGGGAACTCAACCTGGATAAAGATAAAACTCTTAGGGAGTTTATCTCTATCTATTGAAGAGTCCTTGATAAGCACTGAGCTAAAGTCCATTGAAGCTAGGCTTCTGTTGGGACAAGGATTGAGTTAACTATAAAAGAAAGGCATTCCCGATGGGTTTAAGGTACGCAATTTATATTTTGAACACTGAGTTTAGCACTATTGATTATTTTTGAGAGATATACTGACTTGATCGTCGGAGTGCCCCCGGGTGGACGAACCACCGCCGGAATCTTCTCTTTCTGTTGCAGGTCAGACATGTGCCATCTATTCTGCCAGTGCTCTCCAGCTGAATACTAAGTTGGCAGTGCGATCGAAAATTCACTCACATAGAAACTGTACCAAACATCACACTATCTCTAACTTCCCAAAAAAATTGAAATTAAAGTGTAATTATGATGCGCACATATATATATACACCTTTTCTGAGAGAAGCGATCTGCATGGCTTTTGATCTGTCTTTATCGCGGCTCAATTGCATCTGAATAACAATCTTTTGCTGCAAAAGATATTAAATCACAAACATGCATGTCATGTCAGTACTCAAGCTATCATAAAAAAAAAAAAAAAAAACGTGATCAGTAATGGTAATGTTGTATATAGCAGAAAAGCCAGCCTACCTTCTTCATGATGATCGATTTAGAATTTCTCTTGTAATTTCTTTTGTAGGATTGTTTCTTTTCTTTTATTTGAAGCTCTGATGGGTTTTAAGAAAGGAAGTTAATTGATTTGTATATATAGGAGAGTTTGGGTCATGAAACATTCAATGTTAGTGGTTGAGGTTTCCGATAACAGTCGTGGGTACGCGGACAAGTACTTTGTGGTGTTTTGAGAAGTTGGTAAAAAGTTAATTTTTTGACTTTTTGATTTTTTTTTAGTGATTTTTTTGACAAAAAATTGAGTTATTTTAGGTAAAAAAATTGACTTTTTTGACTGAAAAAACTGAAAAGCCAAAAAACTAACTTTTTTGGCAACTTCCCAGAAGACCCCGACTAATTAATAATAACAAAAAAGCAGACATTCAACTTGACTTATTAACTCCGAACCCAGTCCAAAGACCACGTTAGTGTCAACTCTACATTCTTCCATACATGAGATGGTAGAACGGAGGAATAAGTATTTAACGTAACAGAGTATTTGATATGATTGAATTGATTATGGCTTTTGTCCAGTCCGGGATCGGACTGGACCGTGCTGTTAGGCCCGTGGGGGTCCATCACGAGTCCCGTTTTGATAATCTGAACCGTTCAATGTGTAGAACTCGTCGAGTACTATATGCCTATAAAAAATTACGTTGATCGGATATCGATAGCTATATGATCAAATCAGTTTCGTATTAAAAAAATTGGACGGTTAACAATTTAACGGTTGACAAAAAACTGTTTTGATCACATAACTATCGATATCCGATCAACGTGATTTTTTATAGGCATATAGTACTCGACGATTTCTACATATTGAACGGTTCAAATTATCAAAACAGGACCCGTGGTGGACCCCTACGGGCCCAACAGCACGGTCCAGTCCGATTGCGGACTGGACAGAAGCCATACCCTTGATTTTATGTGTATACAGTGACCGTGGATTGAGTTGAGTTGAATGATACTTTATCTGTCATCTGTTTAAAATTAGGTAGATTGTAAAAAATTTATTCACATCCGTCTATCGATGTAACGGATGCAAATTGAGCGAGCAGTGCGGGTTGGTGGATGGATGTGATCGGTTTGACAGCTTGGACTTTATAAATTTTGGACATTTTTTTGAATTTTAATTCACGACTTTTACAATATCCAACAACTAGTAATATGAAAAAATATGTATTATTTATTTATAATAGCCTATGACACTACACATGCATATTTTTTGAGGTATTATTTTTATTTTCACAAAATATATATTTTATTATTTCTACTCTATATTGTAACTTGTTAGTAGTTTTTTTTTTTTTCTTTTCGAACTTCATCTATAAGTGGATAGGGTTCATGCAGGTCCGGAATGATTAATCCGCTATCCGAATCGTATCTGTGAATTTTGAAATATTTCATTCCTATCCGTCTGCCAAAAAACACGCATCCGCCTAAAATCTATCGAGTTGAATCGGTTCGGTCTGATTAGACGGATCCATGATCACGCCTAGTGCATAGTCAAATATTTAGCATTTTGTGTTGTGTATAAAGTGATTTTATGTTGCCTTAGATATTTTTTAATAGATTGTCACATTATTAAATTTGAAAAGTAGTTATAACTTTTAAACTAAAATAGTATTGTCCTTTGACAAATAATGTGACAAAATCCTCAATATTTTCTAAACCCACTAACCAACCATAGTTTAGAAGGGAAGAGATCTCTCTCGGTGTTGTTTGTGTGTGATGGCTTTACTTTGAGTTTATTTCGATCATTTAAATAGTTAAATATGTAAGATTTGTCAAATATATCAATTATATTTGATATGTTTCTTAGAAACAGTTTTCTAATTTTTTATTTAAAAAAAAAGAAACTAATTTGATAAAAATAAACACGAAAAAATTATTTTAAAATTATTTATGTATTCTAAAAAGATAAAATTATATGAAAATGGTTAATATTTTTTATTTTTCTACCAAACTATGTTTGAGATTTTTAGAATTTTTTTAAAAACCAAATCAAATAGAACCATCATTTTTACAAAAAAAAAAAAAAACTAATTCAATATGGGCAATTACTTAATTAAATTATATTTGTGCTAACGACAAATATAATTCTAGTGTCAAATGGGTTATCCTAAAATCATGTATTGGAGTGGCCACAAATCCTTTACTAGTTGGTTTCACAAAGGCTCTAGAGATTACTTTTGCAATTTTTTTTAGTACAATTCATAAATTAGGCGATATAATTTAAAAATCAACTAAAAATGATTGTCGCAATTCATTGACTGGTGTTTAGATTTCATATAACTTTTTAAGACTATTAGTAAAAGTGAACTCAAGTATTATTAATCAAACTACTGTTCAAAACTACAAATCAACCAAAAAACTACTGTTTAAAAAAAAAACAAAAAGTGTTAATCAAACTACCGTGGCGGCTTGGCCCCACAACGAAAAGTCATAGTCATAGGTAATGGATTTGAAAGTCATTTTTATAGACATTCTTAAACAACGTGGGTGTCTGTGGAGTGGTTTTTTATGTTGATTTTTTTAATTATAAGATATTAGTGGATAAAAAATTTTTGATCTTTGAGAAGATAGTTAGATTTTTTTGTGGTTGGATGTGATGTTTATGAAAGAAAAAG